TCGGTCACGCTCTATGACGCTTCTTCCATTATTTCTGTCTGTGTGGTAGGACGGCGTGTTTCATTTTTCTCCCAATATTATTCGTCACTACTTTCATCATTTACCTACTAATTAGTTATTTAAATAATGAGTCCTTACCAATGACATGTCGAAATACTTGTCACAGTCTCTGGAGGATGCAAATTTCTACCGTATATACTCCGACATTCCTTTTAGATCGTGTTTAATAAAAAAAACGGTCAAAAGATATGTCTCAAACTGGATAGAATAAAACAGTCTCCATATGATTACCAACAGCATCTACGACGTGTTTTACATTTTAATCTAGCAACGATTGAGCTAACAGATTTTTGTCGGATATCTCATATCTTAATATAAGAATATTGTTTTCAGCTAAAATTTTCAAGGTATTCTACAGTCATTCGACTTGTCTATAAGAATATTTTTAGTTCAAAGTTTTGCTTTTTAGAATAGAACTAAAACTTGGTCGAAAATTCAGCAAAATCATCATAACTTGGCTCCAACAACGCATGAGAATGAACCATTATAAGCTTTTACTATTCTTATCAAGACAGTCTAGAAAGTTCAGTACGAACTCAAATGGTGGGTACCAGTTCGGATAGTTCGCTCGGTGACCGATCAATTCGTCGCAATCAATTCGTCGCACGACAGTTCGTCGCACGACAATTCGTCGCAGAATATTTTCTTTCGTTCTGTTCGTCGAGAACAATATCGTTGCGATCAATATGTCGATATCGCTCTTAATTACTTTTTTTTTCAAACATGTGAGATTGATCAATNTATTTGGTTAGCTATTGTTTCAGCATATTGATATGAAATTTCAAATGGTTTACCAACAAATGCTGTATATTTAAGATCATTTCCACTTATATTCTATATAGAAATGAAAAACAAAAGTTCATAGAATCTGTTTCTTGTAAATAAAAAAATGATTTACTTTATATAATGTTTCTAAACATGTAAGAAAAGCACCATGACCAAAACGTGGCAAATCTGCAGCAGCCTTAAATACAAGATCTCTATTGCAAGCAATGATAGGTATATGACCATAGTTAGTATTTGAATCAGCTGGTACAACAGCAGGATTACCATTAGTTAAAAGAAGATCAATAATAACTTGTAATGATCTTTCCCATTGAATGGGTTCGCCAAGTAAAACGATAGCTAAAAAAACACGACAAAAATGAAAGCATTGGCAAGAGGAATAAAACGAGTGTCTACCTTCAATAGGACGAAAATTCTCATCATGAACAAGACCTTGAGTACTAATCATTTCACTCTAAAATGTACAATAAATATAAATTAAAAAGAAATTTGTTGGTTTTTTTTGTGACTTACTAATCTAGTCCGATTCATATGATTAACCATATCTAATTCTGGAAATGCTTCACATACTTTTTCAATTGTTGTTATGCTCTTAAAACCGATCCTATTTAAAAAAAAGAATTGAATCCATAAGGATTAGGAATAAATCAAATTAAAATTTATACATTCGAGCAATGTCTTCAGCTTGACCTTGTCCAGAAACAAGAACATGTTTATTATGAAAATCAGTTAATGTACGCATCGGTGTTTGAGCAAGAACAACTTGTTCTGGATGAATCTGTATTTAAATATATATTTTTTTTTCAAAACGTCAAATGAAAACTATTAGAAAGATTAACTTACAGTTACTCCAAGTACAGCTGATAATTGTTTAGCTTTTTCTGATTCGAGCATACATGTATTTGAAACAAATACAACAGGTACATTGAGCTGAAACAATGTTTGAATTGCTGGTTTAGCAACTGTAATGAAATTTGGACCTTTCGTAATAACACCATCAATGTCAAAGAAACATGCAAAGTTCGCCTATTCCAAGAAAGATGTATTAATAAAAATAAATAAATAACTAAATTCAAATATTTATCTTACCGCTTTCATGACAGAGATTCTTAGTGTCAATAAACACTCGCTAGTTTTATTCGAAGAAACAAATTTATAATAGACAATTTTTTTTTCTGGACAAAACTGAGCAGACCGACAGTATTTATATACCGGTGCCGATAATAGAAAAGAGGCACGGGGAGGGCGAGTCTGTGATATCATGCCTTACATAGAAAACTTCGTTGTTTAATTTTGTTCATGTGATCAGTTTGTACTGTTCTTTAGTCGGATGATACACGTGTTCTTGCTCAGAACATACACTCACTGAATGATATTATTCTATTATTGGCACATTCTTCTTTTTTCGTTCTTTGTATAATGCCATGACGTTACGAATGACAACAGAGAAGTAAGGAAGGAAGTACATGGTTTTTCTTTTTCTATTCTGGTGGAACATGCAATCAAGGACAAATTGATTGCGCTGTTATTTTTATCCATAAAGGTTGCGCGTGTAAATAATGTCGTAAGTCTATTTATATCTAGATGCCCTAAAAATTCAAGAAATTCCGAAGAATAATAACCACAACCTCAGTAGATGTTAAACTCATGCCAACAAATACGTCAATTGTATCACATGAATTTTATTGTCGTTTGATTATTGAAGAAAAGGCAGTAAATTCATAGAGTAGATTTAGCTGTTATTTTTGTCGTTTTTTTATTTGACCTTGTCATATAGTATAATTTTTATCCCGTGCAATACATATGAATATTTTCCTCATTAGTCTGTATACTTTTATAATAGTGAAACATTTCTTCCGTATCAATGGATAGCTGTGATATTTGAATATTGTTGAACTCTTGTTTTCTTTTACATTGATCATAAACAAGTATGGTACGCTATAATATTATAACTATAAAAGATTATTGATTATATATTGTACTTATGTGCATATGGAAAATTCTCTATCAACTTGAGGGGAAGAGGAGAGGCTGTAGGTGTGAGGCAAGAGAAAGCTGATATCTACACCCATTCAAGTATTTGAAATAGTATGTTTTGGTAATATTGATTGAATCTTGATGGTTGCCATGTGTATTTCGGCAATGGTCGATGCAAAATATGTAACTGTGCAGCGATTTCTTTTCGCATTGATAATTCTCATTTTTACTTCGATAAATTTTACACGATTTCTCTAATTGTTACGGACCTCATCGACTAGTATGAACTATTCTGATTGACGATGGTAATAGGCATGTTGAGTTGTTCATCTTGTTTTTTTCGTTTTCGGAAAGTGTCTTTAATATTCATGATCACTCGTTCTGTTCCGCGTATCTGTCAGTAATAGTTTGATATCATCCATTAAAGTATTATTGTTTCTTGAATCGTCTCTTATGTATCAATATTATTCAGAGAGGATCAGTATTGATATCTACTGAAAAAGTCTTCTGTTTTATCTGTCTAAAATTTTTACGAATTGTGCATTGTGGGTGTGGGAATAGTTTTTGTTGATTCATTTATCTGTATGAAAGAGTTCCATATTTATGTTCTGTCTCTATTAGAAAATGGATCTTTTCTGATGAAATGGAAGTTTGAGTCTCGATTCAATATTGTTTATTTCTGCTATTGCGATATTTTCGATACCGAAGTGCAGACAATGAATGCTCTCCTCATTTATTGGCAAAGATGCAATATGTTGTTTTTCAAACACATGAGTCATCCACGACGAACAAGTGTTCGTTTTGAAGGAATTGATATTCATTTCTGTTGTCAACTAGTACCAAGTGGCCATCTTTTGTCATTTACTCAATATATTGTCAATATTTCTGTTCATCTTTGCATATGTCGAGATGTTGATTGATGACACGCATATGATCGAAATTCACAAGATTCTTGTTTACATCGAGTTGTCGGTGAGTCGATCGATATGTGACTACCACTTTCGATCTGTCTTATTCGAGAAATTCTACTTCTGAAGAAAAAAAACTGTTCGATTCTTACAACGTATTTAAAATCTTCTGTATGATTTTTGCTCGAAACCATAATTAGGACCTTTGGTTGCAGTAATCTTAGTAGTGCCCTTACAACAGATAGATAAGCACAGGAAGATTACACATGAAAACGGTTTTCGCATCGCCCTTATTCTTTGGCTGTTAAATATCGATTTTTTTTCATCGACCGTTAACGTGTTTTACGCATTTTTTTGGGCAGTTTTTTTTGCATACTTACTTTGAAAGAATTGCAAAAAGAATTCAATGAAAAAAAATGACCGATTTATAACACTTCATTGAAAATTATTTCCACAATACTTTTATTAATGCAATGGACGTTTGTTGATGTCAATGTCTATTTGAAAGTCAATGAAGATTTTGGCCAAAACAAAGGGTAGAAATGAAACTCTAATTCGTTTATTTGAAAAAAAACTGAATAAGACGATTGTTTTCAAGATGAAAATCATTGACGAAGTAACCAATCACGAATAAAATTTTCGCTTGATAGTCAAACGCATAGTCATAGTGGACAAGCAAATGGGTTGATTTTGTATTCAGCGATATTTCGCAGACTTTGAAGTGAAGACTATACGATAATTCTTTTTTTATTTTTGCATACGGCACGCTGCTCGCTAGAAACTCATTATCCATCAAATTTTTGACGTTTTCGTTCAGACGTCAGCTTTCTCACTGTCGAGAAGTCGATATGCGAATAGAGATTAAACTTTGACGCATTTTCCGTTGGTGTCGACACGAAATTGAAAAAATAAGATGCATGGAGATCTCGAATAAAGTTACACTGCATGGCGCAATTTTTCTCTCTAAAACGATGTCGTCATTTTGTCGTTTCTTTCACTTGTATCAATACTTGTGCAATAGGAAAAGAGAAAAAAACAACAACAAAAAAACGAATCGTTCTTTCATGGTGATAAAACCAACACGTACCTTTTGGCAAAGTCACATGTGCATTTGAAATTCGAAGACAAAGTAGAGGAGAAAATAAGTAAACTGACAGTATAAAAGCTAAACAACATCATTAATGACAGAAAGACAAAGTAAGTACATGCAATTAGTGAGAAAATCACAAACATGGTGAAATGAATTTTTGTATTTCAGATGCATTTATTATGGATTCAGGACCATTTGTTGATGTAATTCCGATTTTGTTAAGTTATTTAGACTTCAAAAGTCTCGTTCGTTTAGCACAAACATGTTGTTTTTGGAAAGATCGTATTTATAACGACTTGAAATTATGGCCAAATATGATTGAATTGCCTTATATCGGTCGAATGGATGATGACGGTTTTCAACGTTACGATCCTGAAACCGTAGTAAAGGAGAAATTATGGTCAATGGTTTTACCTCCAGATGATCCAAAAGCTTTGGAAAAAGTTTTGGAGAAGATGGCATCCTCCGAAGAGAGTGTGCAACGATTTCAATTCGTAGAAAAGGTACGACAATGAGTAAAAACAGATAAAAGACAGCAGTGCGAGTCAAATCTTTTAGATTCGAAACCTAGATAAACCAAAAATGTCGATGAGTTTGATACTGAATCCGAATTATTTTCTCTCAGATTCGCTTGAAAAACTTATTAAAAAAAAAATTTCGAAACACTCTATTGTGAAAGTATGATCGAGAAAATCCCATAATACTTGATTATTGTTTTTGATTCAGTTGATTCGACCTGCTCTGTAAAAAAATGTTCGTTGCTCATATTTAGAATTAAATCTTTCTTCACTTTGTAGGTTCAATTCAAAAATTTCATTCATACTGACGAGTCTTTACGTCTTACGGCTCTATTATTTCCCTCAATTAAGGAGATTAGCTTTGAGGGTGATTTGTTAACCATGGCCGGTATTCAATACATAGCTACATCATGTAGAAAACTCAAGCATATTGAATTTTACCATTGTAAAAATATTGATATATCAAGTGCTTGTCGTCTATTTAACACTGAAGACCATAGACAAAATTTGGAGCGAATTTTTATTCGTGGATGTGCTCCGTCAACGTACAATGGCAACTGGTCAATCGCCAATGATTTACCATTTATGGCATTGTGTCAACGTTGTAGACTATATTTTAACGAGCTGAAAAATGAAAAAGAAATGTTGTGCCTCTATCATCCGGGGGTATGTACTGAATGTTTGCTTCAAGCATTGAATCTGACAAAGAGGAGTACTTCAAAATGTTTAACTACCCACAGAATAGTAAAAAATCAAACTGCGTTTAAACAAAATCAATTGATTCTTTTGATTAATTGATTATCAGTTAAAATGAGTCTATTATTTTTGTTGTTACTCGTTTTGATGTTTTGCAGAAGTTGATTCAATTTCCATCTTACTTGTTCTCAACAGACATGTAATTCAGGTTTACCATTTTTTTTCTTGGATAGGAGTTTCATTTTTATTAATGAATCGTAGAATCACAATTATGTCTTTTTATTTTTCTTTTAGACATATGATGGTTATGGCCACAGTTGTTCATCATTTGAATGTTGTGGTAGTAATACACCAAATTATCACTCGACATTAGGCTGTCAATATACGTATCATCATAAGTGCGCTGACTCATCATCAAATTCGAGACGATCACATGAATTGCATGACGGGTAAGTATATCAGAACAGGTTTTCACCTGACAATAAATCTATATGGTCGGTCTTTATAGGCATCCTGAATACATGTTTCAAAAATATAACAAAAATTTGTTTTCATCTTCGTTGCGTTTTACTGAAAGACGCCATTTGAATCAATGTTACAAAAAATGGAATAAAAAACGGCAACAAGAAGAGAATCAGTGACATGACCTAAAATTGCTCGAGAGAGTCACTTTTTTGACATTTTTTGAACTCTATTTCGCTTCGAATACTAAACAATAGTTGATAATAAATACATTACATCGCAGTATCCGATTCTAGTTGATGATGACATATTCTGCTTTTTTTTTCTAAGTGGACAATATTCAAAACTAGTATTGTTAAAAGTATCCAGCGTGAAGTAAACGCAAGTGTAGCACACCTTTCATTTAAGGGAGTCCCATCCGTCATAAAATCTTTTTTTTTGGGAAAAAAATCAAAGCTGGATTTTTATCATAGGAAGATGCAATGAAACTACTATATTTTCCAAGAAATTTTCGTAATTTTTGTAAAGTTTTGTAGTTCTGGGAAGACAGTCTATTTGTTTGTATCAGGATTGAATAAACATTCTTATATAACTTTAGCACGACAGATAGCACTAGCTTAATGCATCTCTTACGTGCCTTTAAAAAAGTTCAATATAAATTATGACTAAGCCAATTTCTTATGTTGTTTTTCCGAATTTCAATGAAAGTAAATTTTTGTCCGACCAGAGCTTTTATAGCTCATTTCTGTGTTCAGAAAAGTTAGATATTGGATTGTGAAGTGACATATTTTTCGCTTATTTGAACACTTGACTTTAATTTGAAACCATCTCGAGCTCTGTCCCTCTTATAGTGACGAAGTTATAAAGATTTTCCTCATCTCACTCATTCATCAAAAGATTTTAGTCCAAATGTTTAACAAAACAAAGATGATGTTTTAGGATTTTGATGTGGATGTGACAATTTGAGTGATATTCATCCACCAACACCCTCTGTTCAAAGCAAAACATAACTCTCAAAAGATATCATTTAAGTGTGACCACTTTATCTTGGATTAACTTCTTCTGCAATGCTTGATTTTGTCAACTGTATTGCATCAAGAAAATTCTGACCTTTGCGGTTGCGTCGTTGAACATTACATTCCATCTTGATTAGCAATTCGATTATTCGATGTCGATCACCGTGAGCTTTGAGACAGACATAGAGCAATGGCTCATTTTCATCTTTGTCTAAGATATTCACGAGAGACGGTGATAATATCAATAATTTTTCAAGTAGTTTGTATTCTTTCTTGTCTAACAGTACAAATATGAAATCTTTATTCATTAACCAACTACCTAATGGTTTCTCATCCATAATCATAATAAGCAATTATCTGCCCATTCGATTTCCTGTCATCATTTCAACATTCATTCGACTATAACTTCGATTGTTAAAGAATTTTCGTACAGATTTAACGTGACGATGTAAAAGTAGTATTAAGTCTAGTCGATTTTGTTCAATTGAATTCACTAAAGTAAATTTGATTGCGTGATCCAAATTCTCAGTCTCTGATGACGTTGAACTTGAAGCACATTCGTACAGTGCAATTTTCAATATATTCCATTGAATAACCTCTATGAAAGGTCCGTTTTCCATTGCTAATTCAATCGAAGAAAGTACATCCAATATGTCAAAAATACATTCTTGAAGTCAGCTTTGATGATAGAATACTTGTTTTTCACATTTTATAACCAAAATGAGCAGATCTACTACAGCTTGATACCATTTAATATCAATCGAAGTGCATAACGATTTTTAATAAAAATATTGTAATCGATATATAGAATAGAATAGAAAATAACGAACGGTTCGACCACCATTACCGACAAAATCTCGATTTTTTAAAAGTTCAGGATTTGAAATAATTAATATTTTGAACATTTCAATAAATGAACAGTCGAAAGATACAACTTCAGACGAAGAGCAATGAAAATGAGCAAGTAAGTGTCAATTGATTGCTTTGGCAAGATTAAAACACATTAGTCCATAGTTATGACATTCAAGACGAGCACCTCTAACAAGAAATAATGATTGGATTCGTTCAATGGATCTGCTCGAATAACCCATAGGGGTGTGGGTGTTTCTTTAATCTACACCCACACCCTAAATATATTTAAGTCAACGTTTTCATGGCAAACCAATTTAGTGTAACTATTCAGTAATGAAAACGAAGCAATGTTGCTGTTGTCACGTGACCTTATTACATAGATGCCATGTTTGTCTGTGAAAATTGAGACAGATGAAAAAAAGAATGTAAAAAGTCTCACTTGTGTCAATGCACAATGTCATTTGAGTTCATTTTCATAACATCAAAGCCAAGTTTGTACGCTCACAGTCAAGGGTGTAAAACAAATTCTTCTGTTACATATTCACCTAAACCAGATGTTTTTGTTCTTCTTGATGATGATGCTGATTCAAATTTAATTATCAGCTATCTAAGTAAAAAAATCGATCCTTTGCCAAATAGTTGTATTACCGAACGTTCATGCTGTGAATCAATATTATTGATCGCATGAAAAAAAAATGATAATAGTGATAAATGGGTCTATCTTGTTACATCATTTTCGTTTATCGAACAAATCAAGGAATTAACAAATGTAAATGATGATTGGTACTCAATTTCTACTTCTGAGTATACTTTTGCGCTAGAAGGAGAACGTCGTGTATTCGATGAAGAGTTTGGACTTTGTCACAACGAAGAACGACTTGCTAAGGCATTGAGAGATCATCTCAATTCATTTCTTACACTAGCCGATGTTGAATTATCAAGCCAGGGTGTCTCATTGCAGACACCACGTCTCGTATGGTTTCAATTTATGTTTATGTTACTTTGACGTCTTGAACGTTCCGATATAGGCATGCAAGAAGTAAGTGATAGATTACGTATTGATTATCACTCTCGATCGGATATAATCGAAAAATTCATTCAAACATATTCATCAGAAAAAGCAATGGAATGGTGTATGAAAGATTCATTTTATTTTGATCATATTAATCGCACATTACGTAGTGAAAATATAAAAGATATTTTTACTCATCGAGCAATTATTCGCGATGTCAAGCAAAGTCTTGTTTCATGGCACAATGATTTAAAAAACAAGTCAGGGAATTTTTTTTACCAATGAATGTTTATCGTGGTCAAAAGACTTCAAAACAAGAACTTAAATCATGGCAATCTAGTATTGGTTCCATTATAACAATGACATCATTTCTTTCAACAAGTATGAATGAAAGGATTGCTAATGCATTTGCAGAAACATTTGATAACGATGATAATGATGATGAGGCTACATTGTTCATCATATGGGTGGATAAAAACACAGAACCAAAATCTATTTTTAGCTATTTATATCACGCAGATTGTGAACCCGATGACCGTGAAATTCTTTTCTCTCTTCGCACATTGTTTCGTATTGATAAAGTCGAATATGTGGATTGTGACGAAACGTGGTATGTCAATATGATAGTTGTAGATGAAAGTAATGAAGAAGTACAAAAGGTAACAGCACCATGAAAAGCATCAATTTTAAAAGAAAATAATTCTTCTCAATCTGAAAATAGATTACTTATTTATGTACGCGATTTATCAGCGGATAATGAAGCTTTTCTTTCATTTCAGCTCTCGCTTGATATAGTACTTCATTTAGATCGAAATGATTTCGCTCGTCAAGAAATGCTTTCAATGTGTCGAATAAAATGTAGTGATGATCCATTCATATTAGCAAAAATTGATCGATTTGAAAGCAGCTATCAATTTGAGTAAGATGCAGCGAAATGGTATACAATTGATAGTTTTCTTTATCGTCTTCTTAATAAAGTCCTTCGTATTGAAACGGTTGATCCTATTTTTAAACTGCGTTATTTTATTCAAGATCTTCATAATCAATTAGCTCTAATGCATGTTAACTATTTGAAAAGATTACAAAGATATAATTCTCCAATTTTAAAATTATATAGTGGTCAAGTTATGACAAAAAATGATTTAGAGAATTATTTTCATGCTAATAACGGAAATCTCATATCAATGAATAGTTTCTTATCAACTACAACAGATCGTTACGTAGCCCGTTTATTTGTTGTTGACGGTAATATTCAAAATCCGGAAACTCATGTATCTGTATTGTATGAAATCGAAATTGACACTAGATTGCCTCATTCAGTACCATTCGCTGAGCTCAGTGATCAGAGTAATTTTGAATATGAAAATGAGGTACTCTTCTCAATGGGTGCCGTTTTTCGTATCGGAGAAACTTGTCAAGAAAATAGATATTTATGGATAGTGAAATTAACTTTAACTACGGATGAGGATGAACAATGGAATATTTTGACCGAGCATTTACAAGAAAAACACCAACAAGAAGAAGAAGCAACTAATGAAATGAATAAACAGATATCGATGGTCAATGATAAAGACGAAGAAATTATTATTACGCCAATCATCAAGAATACAAAAAGAAAAAAAAGCCGAAGTTTTGATGGCTCTCGTTACTCGAAGCGTGAGTTTTGTCGATCAGATTGATCAGAAACTTTCCGAATAAGAATAAGCCGACGATTTGAACATCAAGTATTTCAACCTATTCACAAAGAGCTTTAATTTCTCTGTTGATTTATATTTTCGGTTTTTCTATAGATATAATCAGCAAGCTCGATCATCTATAAAAAGTAATTGACATATTCTGCTTTTTTGGCTCTTTTATCATTTACAAAATAACCACACTATCTAGTTTATAAATCTTTTTAATCGAATTTTTCATTACTCAAAAATAAAAAGAGTATGTATGATGAATAATTATATATTTCCGTCCATAATATGCAAATCAGTCCCATCACATGATGCCATGAAACATTTCACTACAAAATATGTCTTACAGATATGAAAATCTTTTTTATATACACTTATATCTATATAATATAAATCAATCTGCTAATCTCAACTTTTGCTTTTCAGCAGTCGATTAAATCACAATAATTTTCAGTTATAGATGATGTGTTTAATAAATAAATAAAAGAAAAATGCAAGATTAATTTTCGTCGAGGCGTTTTATGTTATTTATTTAAAGAATAAACTACTCATCAGGACTCTTCATTTACAATACATCAACAAGGATAAGAAATAAAGAGTATAAACGAGGAAAAGAGAAAATTGAATTACTGGAAGGATTTAAATTGCGAAGTATGCTTAAATAGTTCCATTGTTGGACGTTGACGGTTATATTATTTCGAATATATTGTACATACTTATAATTATAATATATATATGTGTATATACATATTGAAAAGAAATCTAATTATTTGAATCGAACTTCAGTTTAATAGGGTGTTTAGGAGTTGCCATGATATCGACATTTCATCTTGACGAAGAGAATCTTCAGATGGTCACCGTCTGGAATTCAATTTTTTTACAGAAGAACAAAAAAACACATGCTTAATCTGTACTATTATTACAAGAGGATGTACCTAGGAGGAAAGTGGATCCCCGTGAATCCCTGGAATGTACACTCTAAAAAAAAAATCTGTTCTCTTGGAAACTCAAACTATCTCGAAAGCCCTTTCTAGTTTCCGAGAGGTTTTCCGAATTTGTAAAAGATTCTCAAAAATACTTTATTAATTTGCGAGATCTCAAAAACCTTAAAGTTTTCAGAAATACCGATTTCGACACTTGTAAGGGATTCTAGAATACTTTTTGCCTATGGTTGAAAATCTAATCTGTATTTTTGGAAACCGTAAAGGTATTCTCGGTAACCAATATTGTCAGGCAGCTTAATTCGAAAGCAAATGTGTATACGGACATACCATTTCGGTTTTCAAGGTATTTCTTCGGAAACTTCAAAGGTTTCCAAGCTTTGTGAATCATCAAAAACTATAATGAAAAACCTAAATCGGTTTACGCGTTTTCGATCTACAATCTTCAAACATCTTTCGATTTTCCAAAAATTTTAGAATGTTCTAGAACAAAATCTTACTTAGGATCAACATAATTTTCCATGAAACCTACTCAGCGTTCAATTTTCCTATGTTTAGCATAATTTTCACTCTGATCGTTAGGTTTTTAATGAAACAAAAAATGTTCATATATTTAGTATAATCTTTTAACGTTCGATAATTCTTTCTTCACAACTATATATATATTCAAAAATAAAATTCATCTCATCTTTTCAACATATTCGACAGTTACCTTTACATTACTAACACAAGGATGAAAAGAAGTTCTATATATAGGTGAATCGTATTTTATTTGTACAATTGAAACCAAAAAAGTGGAAAAAAAAGAAAGTGCTCGTATAAAACAAAATAGCTACATATTTTGATACAGCGTCCTTGAAAACCTAAGAGAAACTTGTTTTCCCTACACTTTACTGAAAAATAAGATCATCATTGCAACGTGAAAAATTCATATAATCATTTTCACGGGATTCTTTCAAAATACTTTGTAATTTTTAATAAAATAGAACAAATCATTCATCGATCAATGTATCTCTATTAGATATGTCAAACTTTCCACCCCTTCGACGCTAATTTGCCTTTCTTATTGCTTCTTTCGTGTTGCACTGTTTATCGAAACGAAATAATTGATTAAGCTTCATTTTTATTTTTTCTCTGTACTGTTGCACTGAGGTAACGAACTTTTTTTCATTTCAAACCATTTCAATCTAAAATTTAGAATAGATTAGACAGGACATCATTGCTTTGAAAGCCAGAAGCAATGTTAACTTTTAAAGTATTCATGAAAAATTGGTCATTTTGAAAGCAGAATATATTGTTTGTCACTTTTTTACTAGACAACTAAACTTCACTTGGGAAGTGATACCATTAGATCGGCCTGCCGATGACAAATCGGATGGTCTACTATAGGTTGATGATGTGGGTGTGGGTGTTGCTGATGATCAAAAAGAGCCACACTCACACTCTCAACTCTTTCTAGTCAATTCTGGCTCATTAAACATTCGTCGAATTTTCTTATATGTAGAAGAATGTTCAATATATTCGATAAGTAATGAAATATATATAAAGGTCTAGACACATACAGGGTGTTACATAACCTTTACGCCCCCCTCTACAACTTAAACTATAAATGATACCCACAAAGTATTTTATACCAAATTAAAGCGCATCGAATTAGTATATTTCAAGACGTCTGAGGANGTTGTTTGGATGAAGTTGAATGCAGAAATCGTTGATTATTTAAATAATGTTATTAAACTTGATAGCTATAGTTAACTTATTTACTAAGCAACGAACATTTATTTGATAAAAAAAATTCAACAATCACAAACTATCAAAAAATATTCAGGCAAAAGATTCCTTTTTAATCTCTTCATTTTTTTAGCTTCCGTTCAGAAAACAAGAGATAAATCGTACAAAAGGTGATCACAAACACTGACGTGTCATAATTAGAAATAGAAGTATAGACTGATAGTCACTCTAAAGAACATAATTGCTTTAAGTTAAATATTTATCACGTATAGATCAACTATGTTAAACTTATCTATCCAATTTTTATTATCGATAATTGTTGTTGTTTTCGTGAGAAAACAGGTAGTTGGAGCCGATGTTTTAGTTGTTACTGATGAGGATATCTAGATGTTGTTCTTAAAGCATTTACGCTTTCTTGTTACTGCACGTGAGAATGTAGAGGATGCCATCAATTTGCACACGATTTAGCCTTAGTTGTGAGTTGAGAAAAATTATATATTGAGATTTTGAGGAAGTGTGGCATATGCTTTATACGTATGCATTTACTCATGCTATATTTAAAATTGTTCTATTTATCATAATCCGATTATCGAATAGTTTCGATTGCAAAGGTTATTAATCATATAATTAACTTGTATATGTCTGATCCATACGTGATAAATATTTAATTTAAAGCAATTATGTTCTTTAGAGTGACTATCAGTCTATACTTCTATTTCTAATTATGACACATCAGTGTTTGTGATCACCTTTTGTACGATTTACCTCTTGTTTTCTGAACGGAAGCTAAAAAAATGAAGAGATTAAAAAGGAATCTTTTGCCTGAATATTTTTTGATAGTTTGTGATTGTTGAATTTTTTTATCAAATAAATGTTCGTTGCTTAGTAAATAAGTTAACTATAGCTATCAAGTTTAATAACATTATTTAAATAATCAACGATTTCTGCATTCAACTTCATCCAAACAACTTCGATAAACATGCTAACTTCGATACGACATATATATGGTATAACATTTAAGTCACTTACCACTACTAGTAGTTGGGGTCCAACGAAAATAAGGTTTTCTAATAGTTTAAATATTACTCTCTCATGGATGTGGGTGTGCACATGCACAACAGTGCTTTCTACTTGCACACCCACACCTTAAATTTGATCTTCAACAAAGCACAACAACAAATTGACACCCGCTCACATCCTCATTCAACCACATCCTCTGCCCATAAATCCTTTTTCCGTATATGACGAAGATAATAAACAGTTTTTCTGTTTTTGATTGGGAAAAATGTGTTATTAGGTATTCAAAAAACGAAAAAAGGTTTGTCTCGTTATTGCCAAAAATTACGTGTTAACCAACTAGCCAATTGCTGATTATTGAATGTTATTATTATCTAATTGAACGAACTCCAATCGCATGAATTTTTTCCATTGACTCTTCAACATTTTCTCTTGAGCTTTATTTATATTGAACATCTTAAATAAATAACTTTCCTATTCTACGAATTGAGTTACAACTGAAAATGCGATTTTCTAAATCATTCAGCTCCTTTTTATTTCATATATGTGTAGAAATTATTAATATTTCATATAGCGACGAATACATTGAATCAATTTATCACAACCATGTCCAAAATGAAATTATCCATTAAGCATCTTTTGGTAACCATCTACTGTCGAATCGATTCCTTTCGCTTTTATGATTTACTATATGATACTATACTCTGGATCACCTGAGATATACAAAACTTGTTTCATGACGAGAGGAGATGAAGTGAGGCACCAAAATCTTGGATCCTTTCGAGTTTTGACACTAACTGTCAAGCACGTGTTGAAAGTGTTGTACAAGTAGATTCCATAGAATTGATTTCTAATTTTGGTCAACAGTCGATTTCTTTTGATAATCGACTAACATTCATCCGGAAGAAAATATCACATTTTCGGTTTGGGATTTTCGAAATTCGAGTCTCTTAGCTTCGATCAAAGATTGAAATGTGAATACTGCGAACAGTGAATGATATATCGCTCGTCATAGTGTCAACAATAGCGACACGGTATCCTGTCATGGACCTTGTTGATCGAGGAGTGAAATCAGTATTCACCAGAACACAACTGCTTTAAACAATGCTGAACATTGGTTTGATTGTGACCGAAGATGTTAGTTGATCGTTATATCAACACGTGTAAATCATGCCGTGGAAACCGTTTTCTGCGACACGTATGGTTGAAGAGAAGATGCGTTTAAGTTCAAATATCCCATTTGATGAAATATTCATGACATATAAAGAATGCTATTTTTTACCGTATTATATCAGCAAGTGTTCTTTCCCATTCAAGTGAAATATAATTAGTTTTTTCTTTTTGATCTTCAATTCGGAAGACCAATGAATTAATATAAGTTATATTTTATATTATAATGAAAAAATGAATAATAATTAATACTAATATATATTGAAATTCAAAAAATCTTCATATTCTTGTATGTATATCTGACACTTATTATACTAATGCAAATGCAGTAAAGAAAACTAAAAAAAAAAGCATTCTTATTTCCTTAATCATACCAGTATAGATTAAGATTTACACAACACAAAAAATATAGATAAAGTCGGCAGTTTCAAAGAAACAGTGAAATTGAATAAAAATTGAGAACATTGTCTTTGCATATATTTGTATATGAGATAACACAAGTAACGATTACTTTTCATTCATGATCCGAGCAAAAATAGACATTTCCGTAAAAAAAAAATATTTCATAATCATGCCTAATGAGATAAATCTCCATTTTTAACTTCCCGATGTTTTTAGTATTTATTTTTTTGTCTCGAGAACTATTGTTAATAATAAATGCAAATCATATTAATGTTTTGATTTAGAAAACGCATTCTTATTAAATTATAGAATAGAACTTGCATAGATTTGCTTTAACATTGTAGTCGTTTATTATCATCTTGTTTCTAAGTTTAAAATTAAACACAAAAACATTACACTTTATTGTTGGTATTAGTATACTCGTTTAATCTATTGAGTTAACTTTCATGATGCTTTTAAAAACATCGATCATATAGTTTTAGAGTATAAAAGAGTCTGAATAATAAAATAATACTACGAATATTGATTTTCTCTTCTTTATGTAGATTTGATTATATTGCTATGTGTACAAGATTTTTGCCAGATGTTCATGATTTAAAACGTCGACGAATGATCTTGACATTGTCAACATATTGTTAAGATATTATTAAAATCAATGTTGATATATTTCGTAGTCAAATATGAATAGCAATATCAGTAAGTCCTGCTATTGTTCGTCCATCTGTCACATTTGACTCATTTTCGAAAACAATAATCAGGTGTACACGATGAATTTTTAGCACATATATCTGATATTCATCATATTCTGTTAAATAATTTCAAATGTGAATTATTAGAAAAAAATTTATCAATTCATTTTTTACTGATATATCAAATTTAGTCGTATTCTTGTTTAAAAACTTAACAGTGAGATATCATCGTTATGTTGGTCAGTCTTTTATTATTTACATCTAATAACGTTTTCAAATACCATAGATTCGTCACACATCAGTATAGTATGTTTTTGAATTATTTTATATGTTCCAAATAATTAACCAATGAATTTTTATTAGACTTTTCATAATCTCAGTAATTCAATGCAAGCCTTTTAACTTCATCATCCATGTGACCCAAACCGAACAAAAAATACCGATATACTGACGGTAGTGCCAAAAAACGTACAACATGGATAATCTTTAATGTAGTTGTAATTATTCATGTATAGACAATATGTTATTGATTATGTATTCTACACATATCTAACGATGGAAATTCTCCTACTGATAAATTGCTATTAATTCAAAACTATATGCATTATAAGCAATTCATGCGCTTAGATTATTGCTGCAGAGATACTATATTTCTATGGAATTATTTTGAATGAATGCCGCGCCTCCTCCCCGCCCTTCAAAAAACACTAGGAAACGTGTTTTTCGAATTTCGACTTTGACACTTACATCGAATCTGCTAGTGTATCATATGAGTGATGCGCAAAAACTGAAACTATTCTCATTCAAGTGTGTTCCTAAGTAAAGTTTCAAGTCAAAATTCGAAAATCAGTTTTCCTGAGGAAGTCCTCGATATTCGTTGAAAAAATATCGTAAAGCCACATCTAATAAATTACGAGCATAAACTCTTTTCAGAATATTCATAGCACATAAACTCTACTCAAAAGCGATTTAACAGATGAATGACTTTCTTCGTAGGTTATTCTTTATCATATACAACATAATTACATTATAATTTAGTATCACAAGTGAAACATTGAATCGTAATAATTATATTTAATTTATATAAAAAAAAAAAAAAAATGATTATTTGTTTGATTAATAGTAATCACAGATGTAAATAAAGTGAATATTAGTAGAGTTCAAAAGCCAGTAGATGCACTTGGACCTCGACTTTTCACTAATCTTAAAAGTTCGACTAAAAAAGAAAAAAATAGTAATAATGAAAATTTATCAATAAAGACTTTCACTTACCAGGTATTGGAAAAACAATTGTTGAATTTTTTTCCGCTGATATATGTGTTAATGTTTGTAGATAACGTAATTGTAATGCAATTGGACTCTCATTAATTACATCAGCAGCTTCCTAAATAAACAACAATAAACTGTAAATTTCATATTGATAATAATAAGAAAATTTTACTTTTAATGATCGTGATGCTTTTTGTTCACCTTCAGCGGCAATAACTTTCGCGCGAGCTTCTCGAGCAGCTACAAGAATAAAATAAAATCTAAATATTTTAATAAAATATATGTAAATTCTGACCTTCAGCTTCAGCAGCCATACTACGTTGCATACTGACAGGCAATCGAACATCTTTGCTAAATAAAATGATCACAGTTGTCAACAGAGAAAAAAACAGCAAAATAATTATTTCCAGGTATTTACATTTCAACACGTTCAACTTTAACTCCCCATGGATCAGTTCCTTCATCAAGATGAACTTGCATTGAATGTGAAATATTTTCACGATCAGATAAAATTTCTTGTAAAGTTTTTGTACCTCTATAATAGTTGCGAAAAACAAAACAAGAAGAACATTTTATTGAAGTTTTATTTATATAATTTAACTTACAAAATATTACGAAGTGTTGTTGCTGCAAGTAATTGTGTTGAATAACGAGAATTTTCAACATTTGTTACACTAATTATTGGATTAAATATTCGAAAATAGACAACAGCATCTACTGAAACTGTCTATATGAAAAATAAAATGAAAATTGTTTAGAAATTCTTTTAATATTACGAACCACTGAATCTCGTGTAAGAATTTCTTGAGGAGGAACATCAAAAGTCACTAGAAACAAATAATATGTAACAATCAATCAATGGAATAGTAATTTTTCAAAAAAATTAACAATAACTAACCAGTTCGTAAATCAATTTTCATTATTGTATCAACACATGGTAAAACAAAGAATAAACCTGGACCTTTGGCACCACCTAAAAAAAATATATAATAATATTTTTATTATATTCATATGATATTTCTACCAGGAAGAATTCGACCAAGACGCATAATAACTGCTCGTTCATATTCTTGTACAACCTATTAAACAAAAAATATTCATTTATATATAAATATATATAAAATATTTAATATGATTTTTCTTTGTTACTTTCACAGCAACACAAAGTGAAAATGGCAATGTCAATGCACACATAATATAGGATAATACAACAAGAGCCCAACCACATGCACCAAAACCTTCTTCAGTATTTCTTATATCGTCTATAATAGTCAAGAAAGATAATATTAATTTCGAAAATATGTAAATAAGCTATAGCTGTTTAAAACAAAAATCTTTTAGAAAAAATTTATTACATTGAAAATTTCCCGAACCAGCATTTCTTGGTACAGCCGATGCATTTACTGATAAATGATGATAGATAAATAGAGTATATGAACAAGAAAAATTTCACATATTATAAATTACTTTCTGATCTAGCAGCAGTTGTATTTCGTTGTTGTTTTGATGTCATTGCAATTTGTTGTTCTGCCGAACTAATTCGATTCGAACGCTAAAAGTAAAATAAATCTTCTTTCTTATCATTATTATTATATATCACCAATGATAATCTTAGAGAAACAAGTCTTTTGATAAACTAACGTATCTAATTCATGCGTCATCTTTTGCTTCTCACGCTTATATCAAGATTGTAAATGACGTGAAAGAACGAAAAAAAAAAACACATTTTCTTATTTTTTTTTTTTCTTATGAGTAACAGTTTGCTAGATAGTATGAGATAATGATGATAGCATTGAATATGACTAAAACTCGAACAGAACTCCGATGTGCGTCATCATATTGTTATTAATGTAGAACAAGATGAATTCAAAATGAAGATGACAACGAAGAAAAAGAGAAAAGATAAGCATAGCGATTACCGAGATATTTGTCAATACTGTTTCTTTTTTTTTTCTCATTTCCGACAGTTGCCTCGCAAAATGCAGAATAAAATGGAAAAAAAAAAGAAACGACATGCAATGCACACAATAGTTGTCATAAATGATGATAGAAGACCTCAAAGTAAACTCATCTGAATGTCTAATAATTTTTTTCTTTTTTTGTCACTGATAATTTTCCATAGAAATCTAACAAACTAAATCAGACAGTTACTTATTTGATTAGATATATGTGCTATATCTAATCTAAGATAATAATATTCATAATATAGCTTTCATCTGTTACTTACCGATTTCATATATATTTGTTTTTAGTTATTCTTAGATGCTAGATTCGTTATAAACGAATAAAAGAAAGATACAAACTGATTATTTGGTATTTTTATAAGTCACAATAGACTAAAGTGTTGCTAGACAACATAGACGTCACTCATTTTGTTTTCAAGTATACATAAAAATGATAAAAGATCGAGTAAACCGAAATAATGTCAAGGTTTATATTTTCTTCTTTTCTTTCTTTCATTTTACTACTCACAACAGACTAGTCGTGATGGACTGTTAGATGGAATAGAGTTTATACCTTCATTTTTATTTCATCGTAACTCTAAACAGCACAGAACAGAAAAAAATCGAGATATGAGAGAAAATGACAGAACGAAAGACGTCACATTTTATTAGACATGACATCGTCGACGTCACATCTTCGTAGCGCGTCATGACATCTATTGAACAGAAGAGCAAAACAAACTAGATGAATAGAAAACATAGACTTTCGTTTTACAAGTATATATCGATAAGAGACAACATTTTTTTTTCGGAATCGAATCTAATATATGCTGAGCATTTAAAACGGAAACTTTAATAAATCAAAAAGTGGTTTTTGTGTGTCGAGGAATATTTTATCAATGTTCTCATGCTTAAGTAAGATAAATATTTATACAGGAATCACTTTTTATAATTCCTCTTTCTCTTTTTTTTTGTTTTAATATATTCATATATAATCAACTTTTCGACTTGTTAACTAAGTTGTATTAGTCTTCTAACTATATTCTGGATTTCATACATTTATATTATCACAAGTCTAAATAATACAATAGTATTACTTAGATAATAAAAATATATTTCTTTTCAATATTTTTATTAAGCAAAAAATTTGTATTTGAAAAATTTAAGATCTCGAATGTTAATCCTTTGTGAATAGCGGTACATACGTTGCACCCATCTATGTTTCAGTAATGAAAATGTTTACTCTCTATTCAACGATTATGATCTGTAAGATAATAGAGTGCCCAATCTGCCATCTCATGCAGATCTTTTTTCTCTTTCTTCTTGTCTTATGTATTATCATAAGTTTTTAATGTAATCATTTTGAGTCTAATACAATAAATTAATTTGAAGAGTTGGTTTTTCAATTGATAAAAACATTCCGTTATTAAACAGTTAAATGATGTAATAATTTAGTTCATAATTATTATGTCATGGCAAATTGATTGACTAAAATGAACATTTTAATTAATGAAATTGAAATACATCAATTTTTATGTCCGTTTCATCATTCAAAATGTCATTTTTTTTTTAATTTCATAGCAAGTATGTTTGTTGTTTAGATTCAAATTCTTCGAATTTATTTAATAATACTAAGATTTTATTATGATTCTTATTTCATTAGGTTTTATTATCGAATGATTATTGATAAAAGACTTTCTCTACCAAATAAAATGATATATCGAATTTTTGAGAAAATGTTTTCAATTTCAACTTTTTTTTTTTGAACAATATCATTAGCAGATAAATTAATACGATGTTCGATACATAAAATCTATTTCTATATTAAAATCATTACTTACCACAAAAGTCATTGTCATATAATTCTCATTAGCATAGGATGCCTAATTATTTATTCTTAAGTCAATACTTAATATATCTCGTAATCTATAGATTATTCCTAAACTAGTAGTTAATTACCATTCTTTGTCGAATTTCAACACATTTTACCTCAAAACATGATTGTTGAATACACAAGTCGGTTTCTATTGTATAGGAATAATTTTGATTAAATCCTTCGATGAAATCTGACAGGAATTCGATAATAGGATCATTAGTTTTAGATTTTCGTATAGAAACAACATATATGAGAGTCTAGTTTCTCGAAGAATTGCTAGTAAACGAGAAGTTCTAACAAGTAACAGAGAAAGAAAATTATCTATGATAATATTAGCAATTAATTTATTTAAATGAATAGATTAATTATTTTTTATGCTAATCTAAGTTAGAATTATATATTGATTTGTAAAGAATAGACGAAAATAACGATAATCATTCAAAATTGAACACATTGCATTTTACAACATAGACTTATCTCTACATTAAATGACGTTTTTTTCCTGACAATTCATCTTGATATTATTGATACAAGAACGATTGAAGAAACATATACTGCATTAGTTATCGACAATGATGACGTTAGTATCGATAGATGGTATATATGAAGATGAAAAGGTAATATTTATTGATGTTAATTTAAGATAAAAGGATAAGTCTTTGCAGTTTGCAATTACAAAAAATACCTATAAACTATTTAAAGTTTTAAAAAATACATTGTTTAGTAAGCTTAAATAGTTCTTTATGTTAGTAATAAAACTCACTTGGATTAAGTATGAAATTCAATTGTTTATTATCTAATATTATAAGCATTATCCTATAAAAGTGTAATTGTGACTATAGATAAGACTATAAATATCTATTTAGTATATCATAATGTAGAAAAGTGAATCGAGAGCGGATGATTCACTATCATAAAATACGACACTTGATCAATATTTTAATTTTAGTGACAAAATCGAAAATAAGCAGTAAGAAAAAATAAAATTTACTTCAAAATCTCATAATTATCGTTTTATGTTTTAATTCATACATTGAAAAAGAAAACCCGAAAAACTCTATTTTACCTCATAAACGATTGCTATTCTTGTTCTCAAAACACCACAACTCTGACTATTTTTCTTTGAGTACTTTTTGGTAGAAATAACAAACAAACCTGGAGTTTTCATCATTCACGAGAGAAGATCCTGGACCATCTATATGCGTCGAAATCTGATTGATCAACAATTAACCAACCGATTGATTCACACAAATGCTTCAACTTTCTACCATGTTCCATTCTAGAGTCGCAATGATTTTCCAGAGACTTCTGGTTTCAACAAATCCACCTGGGAAGACTGCAAGAAAGCTCAAGGCAGGAATAATCCTATCATGCTGAATCGAATGGCGCTATTTTTCTCCCACTTTCCGACTGATCCCAGGTCGCTTTGAAATTGAAAACAACCATCACCGTTCGACTCAGCATGATGAGATACACTTGTCTTGAACTCTTTTAGAATCATTCAGGGTGGATTTGCTGAATTCAGGAGTCTCAGGAAAACCCTTGAAATAATCAATGCTTCTGTAAATTATTAGACATTAGAAAAAAAAAATTGATGTCAGTAATGTTATCTCTTTCTTTACTTTTTGTCCGCTTCTATGAACTATTCCATCTCGCTATATTTCAAGGCTTTTAAATCTATAACTATAAACTAAATCAAATGAGTTCCATTTGTAAACTACTTTGGCTCAATAGATATCAAAAATAGACGTTAGTTTAATGTACCTATTGCAATAGATTATTTATCAAAGTATTAGCGCTATTATAAATAAATATGATACATGTAAGATATAACGTGTAGATGCATAAGTATAATGTTTATATTTTCTAGCAGATGCCTCTTGCAACTATATAGCTATATGAACAAAAGGCCTTTATATCAAATCGGTCGACAACACTTGAAAAAGAAAAACCTACAAAACTGTTCGATGAAGCTTCAATAAAATCTATTAATTATTCTAAAAAATAAAATAATCAGATTATTGTCAAAGGAAAACAATAATGAAAGATTTTTTTTTTAAATTGAAAATTAATCTTTCTATTAGATTAATTTAAATTTGAATGATCATTGAATTTTTTTCTCATAAAATACTACAATTTTCTATTTAACGCTCAACTACTGTTTATAGAATTGTATTAAAACTATAATACTATCAACTTAAATAGAGAACTCAATACTTCATGCGTGTCACTAAATGAACATAAGTTGTTTTTTAAAAAAAAAGAACATGATGAGAGTTAATTCACTAGTGATATCGACTGTGATTTGATGATAAACTATTTTATAGAGTTACATTTATTGAAAATGAATTATTGCTGTGCTAAGATTATAAAAAATGCTTTGAAACAAATCTCGTCGTTCTTTTTCAAATTGAATTAATATCGTTATTGTATTCAATGTAAGCTCTGCGTTTTGGATGCATGAGCACGGATAAAGTACTGACAAATCATGACGTTGACAAAAGTGTATTCTATCTACTAATACAGACCAATCACGCTGTTTGTGAAAAATAATTATCAATGACTTTTGAAATACGTAGCAAAAAAAGTTAGCTTCAATCTAATTTTCTTGAACAATTCACAGCAAGCATATGAGCATGCCAGATTTGACACTACAGGGTGTCCCAAAAGTCACCTACCAAAAAGAAAATTGTA